CCGCTGCGCGGCAAAAAGGCAGTGTCAGTGGACGAGTTGCAGCACATGATGTGCGATGTTGGACGTATCATGTGTACATACTATTCAACTTGACGCGAAACACTACAGTACGCGCTGCGAATCGTCCGCTGACTCAGACGAGCTGGCGAACAACGAGTCTCCTGTCAAGTACACAAAAATAGTTCTAAGATTTGGACTTCCCGTTTTAGTATCAAAACAACCTAAGAGAAACCCTTCTGTTCTAGCAATAATTGCATCAGCTTATTACAGTGGAAGCATGAACGACATTCCTAAAAATTGTTTTCAGAGGAACAGAGCTTGATTAGGTTCCAGGACGCCGAAATGGTTTTGTTTCCTAAGATTCTTGTCCAGATTCCAGTCGAACGACTTCTGCTATCTAGTTGCCTTCATAACTTCAGATTAGTTTGCACGTATGATTGCGCTCTGAGTTGTACTAGTTTTCTTGCCAGTTTCACTGGTTGATGACATCGGTTGGATGATTTATTGGGGAACTTAGGTGTTCAATCAAGATGTTGTTTGAGAGCTGATAACTTGGTCATCATTCTGAAACATGCCACTGATTGATGGATCTTCGAGGAAGGCGTTACAGATCCGCAGGGTAAATTCGTGGAGAAAACCTGCACTTTACCTTTTTCCTTTTTTTTCTAATGGTCGATGCTATCTAAACGTAATACTGCTCTAAACACGTTGAGCACCGTGTGGGACCGTGTGCAGCGCATGCGCTTCACACTCAAATAGTTCATTTTTTCACTATTGCGCTACTTCTTTTCCGCATTTTTACATTTCTTCCATAGATCACGTCACAAAGCGACCGTAAACGTCGTGGTTTCCCAAATGGTTGAATTATCCTTGGCTCTATCGAAGGTTTCCCAACATCTACAACTTCTTCGATTCGGTTCATTCCTGGTTTTCTTTAGCTTTTCTTGAACATTAATGTAAAAAAAACAGTAGCTAAAGTAAGTACGGGTTCATATGTGTAGCAAGACAAGTCTTTCTAGTAGAACAACCTGTCAAAAATAATTTTAAAGTCCATCACTGGGAAAACAACTGAAACTTGCCTTTTCATCGCTGCACGTCATTTCGACCGAACTTTTACAATTATACCTTCTAATAACTTTAGCACATCATCGTTGTAAACTTTTTGCCGCATCCAAGTTTGGCGTCTTTAAAACTCAAAGTCCACGGATTTGAGGTAAGGCGGCGGCGCCTGCAAAATCGCTCTAGTCCCACGCGCCCAAAAAAGCAAAAACGCCCGATGTCGTCAACGTGTTAAAAGTCCACAATTCCAGTCCATGTCGTCCTTTGTTGAAACCTCGGCATTTGATGTTGAAAGTACTGCAATTGTTTTTGTACTGTATGCCACAACGAGGTTTTTAAGATGGAATCTTTATTTACTGGCCTTACGTTTCGACCGCTTCGTCTTCTTCAGAGGCCTGGAGATTGTTCGAAGATTCCACCGATTTGGAAGTCTAGCGATCTCCTTCACTTTGGTTTCTCTTCAGAACCGTTAATCGCTTTTACAAAACTCGGCAGGCAGAGCGGATGTGGATCTTATGCACAGGTCAAGGGCTGAGCAAAATGAGGTTAGCTAAAGGCTGGTGGTAGTATTAGATTAGCAGAGTTTTACGAAGAGGATGAGCTACAAACAGAATGCAGGTCAAGTAAACTGCTATCCACCATTTTTATCACTTTGAAGCGTGCGTTGGACAAACGACCAACCGTTCCCATAGAACTGAATCCTTGCGGTCTGGATGCTTTTGCCAGTGCTCTCAGTTGGACACAACAGAATTTTTCCTAACAGAGATTAGGAATCTTTGGAATGTGGAAATAGTCTGACGGCAATTTCGGCATTTTCTACTCTCGACACGATTTTTCTCTTCAAAAATTCGCTTCATCGAACAGAGGAAGATACAGTTTGAGGAACAGATTTTACGCTGTGCATATTCAAAATGTGGTTTCGCATTGACAAAACAGTTGGAAGGTATCCGTCCGCTAATGCAGCACATCGCTCTCGCTGTTTTCTCGCGCATTATGCTCACTTTGTCACGGTGAGCTCTCCTGTTGTTGTTTGGTACCGTTCGTGGGCCTTTTGATTGATAGTGGTCTGGAGTAGGCTAGCTGACCTGAGAAGAACTCGGAATTCCAGAAAGCATGGTATCCGACATTAGGCTCGTCGAGCGGCGAGAAGGTAGCGGACGCAGGCATGGAAGACCCCAGAGTCAACCCTGCGTTGCGCAGTTCGCAACGGCACGTTGAGAGATCCTCAACGCACGCTGTATGGGCGGAGACGCAGACGGCTCGAGCATGCGAGTGTGAATGTTCGCGCGAGAGAACGTGTCTAATCGGGCGAAACTGCGCAACGTGGCCGTTGAGAACTGCGCAACGCAGGGTTGACTCTGGTTGGGTGCGCGTGGTGTAACGTTAAGATGGGGACCGTACATACAGGAGCCGATATGTCAGCTCTACCTTCTCTCCTGCGCGAACGAGCCCCTGCTCGAGATCCGAAAAGCGCAAGGAGGACTTCTAACCGCAAAAGGCAGGGGTTTTGACAACCAATCCAGAGAATGTGGCATGCTGTGACCTAGTTTGTTAGTTCACCATCAACAGCTGGACCACAAGAAAGCAGTGCCCCCCAAAATGGGTATTCTGTTGGCCAAACACTGTTTTGCTTCATTTGAAAGATGCGTTCAATGATACTTAATCATAAAAAGAACCTGCTGACATTCGTAGTTTTCTGATCTGAAGTTATTTGCAAATGTGCAGCACAATATAGAAAGACATGCAGTTGGCAGATGCTTCTAAAGCATCACATCATTTACTAGAGCATAAACCACTCAATCAACAAGAAAACACCTGAAAATAACGCCCTCATATTTAGAACAGAGTAATAGCTATTTATTGTGGTATTTTTCTGCCTGTCAAAATATTGTGTGGTTTCATCTAACAATCAGTTGTATTTGATCGTGTGGGCGATTACTGCCACTTTATCCAGTACTTGTATTTATAAAGGTAATTAAACTTTCAGAGCACAACAAGTCTTTTCCACTAATATGCTGTTCAAAATGATGGAAGTTCTAAAATTCAGAATTTGGGGCCAAAAAATCGGCATGATTCGGAGAGTTGGCGCTACTTTTCTAATGCATCTTATTGTAAAAGAAACAAATAATACTTCTTGAACAAACCTTTTTGTACTGTGGAGGCGAAACTTGTCCAGTGGCGGTGACGCACTTAACATACGCACGGGCAGAGATCAAGCCCTGGATCGTGCACCGTCCAGAACAGCGCCAATGGCTTCCCATTCTTTCAGGTCTGTTTAATGGTATCAGCTTTGTTGGTAGTATAAGGATACTGACTTGTGCAACTGCTCGCCCCGCAACACATTGAATTAAACAAGAATGTCGACTGCGACTCGGATGGAAGTAGAGTAAACAGCGGATCCAAGAAAGACTGTGGTCAGAAGCCGATGTTCTGCCTTTATTACACAGCCTTTTTATTTGTAGCGGTCTGAACAGAATTTTGCAACTCATGGACGTGTGCTACCCAGAAAGTGCATGTGCCCAGCTTTCTCAAAACGGTTTTTGCTTTATAGAGGAGCACGCGCACGCGGACATGGAACTATATTCCCATTTTCCTGAGCGGCCCTCTGAACGACAAAGAGTGGATGGAAGATTTGTTCACAGCTCGATCCTCCGTGATGACGAACTTTTGCATTTTCGACCGACGCTTGCCTGATGTCACAAAATAGTGACTACGGATAGTAAAGATTGCTATACTACCATAAGGAGGGCGGAAGTGGTGTAGTGGCAAGTGGCACGCTTACCACGCGAGCGGTCCGGGGATCAAATCCTGGGTCGTGAGTCGCCCGGGCCAACCAAGCCTTCCATCCCTCCGGGGTCGGTTAATTGGTACCAGACTTGTCTGGGAGGATAAAAACACTGACTTGAACATCGGCTGGCCCCCGCAAGTCATTGTATAGGCCACATCGCATTCAAACGCCACTGCGAATGTACAAATGGAAGTAGAATGCGTGCCGCATCCCAAAAGGGATTGATCAACGGCAAATGCTTTATCCTTTTATTACCATAAGGAACTTCAATGCCATATGAGTAGGTCTTAGCCAAAATGTGATGACAAAAAGCTGTGGCGGGTAAAACGCTTTTTGGTGTTCCGGGTGTTCAAAGAGCCGCCAGAAAGAGGCTAAACAGTATGCCCCTACATTATGCAGAAAACCGTTTCCAGAAAGCAAACCGTAGCACGAAGTGCAAGGCCTCCCTGGTAAGTCCTTATTAGATTAACAGCAGAGTATTGAAGCATGGAAAATAGGAGGCTTTCCAAATACTTCTGAGAAATTAGCTAGTAAATCATAACTTGACTGCGAGCACCACACAAAAAAGGTAAATCTGCAGACTCATATAGTGTTTTTCCGTCGACCGCTAGCGTGAAGTTTGGTGTTTACTGAGGACCATGGAAGAAAAATGAAGGAAGGTGTGTGATGACCAGAGAGTTTAAGACTTGGTAAGTTTATTTTTTGCTGTCATAAAGGTGAATAATGGCCAATATTGCCCTTGAATGATATAGCTTTTTTCATGAATTCATGCGTTTTGTTCAAAATTGCAGTGTACATCAAAATGGGCGCAGATGGGGCGGCGACGGATGGCTCCACTTACATACACCGACCGGGGTAAATCATGGATTGAATCTACCACAAATTAACCAAGCCTTCTATGACCGTGGGGCTGGTTGGGAATATTATTAATATAAATTTGTTTTTTGGGGGGGGGGTAATATTTTTGTAATCTCTTCTCAACTTGGCAATCTGTAGTATAGGCAAACTGCATTTATTTGCTACGACTCTCAATAAAATAGTGAACCTAAGCAAACTCTTACAATTTGGAGTGCAGGCCTATAAGTCTGAGAGTGCTCTTTGAAAAGTTCCACTCGTGTTCCATAGATTAAGCAATGATCTTTGTCATTTTAAGTATTTCCTGGAACCTGCAGCACAATTCAAATTACCGAGCAAAATGATGCTCTTCCATGTAGCTCCGCCTACTAGTAGTATTCACTTGGAACTCATTTACGCGGTAAGCAGTCAACTCATAGCTCTTTTTAATGACTATACTCATAGCGAGAAAGGCTACGCGTTGTCGGCGGCCTAACAAGCTGTTAGCTCTATAAGGAGCCAACTCCTGAGTCTCATCATGACTCGATGCTTCGATAGCCAAACGACCGGACTAACATAAGGCGTTAGTAACACTTTTGTTACGTTTGATGATTGATTCTTTCTTAATTTCTAACAGGTTGAGGGTTATCGGTATACCCGTATTTCAAAGCCCCGGCAAGTGCCTATGACTCCATTATGGCGCTAAAGGGCACATGGTCGACTGATGTAGGTTCCCCGATAAAACCTACCATCGACCTTGGTTAGGCCTAGGCTCTCACGGCCCTTGAAGATCAATTCTCTTATGAAGTTTCTTATGTCGGACACCTTAACTTCAGGGTCACCTTTTCAGTCGTATGGGTGCTGCTGGTTCCCTGAACCAGCCCTTCTTTCTTTCCTTTCCTCCGTTTAATAATTGTATTGATTTCGCATAATGGATTCACTGGCGCGTCTACAGAGACATATAAATGAAGAAATAAATAAACAGGACACTAAACAGCTGAAGCCATCAAAAGGAGTGAGGAGATGTCCGAGCAATGCTCTCTTCCTGATATCATATGTAAGCGGCGTTCTGGACGAAACATTACATATGCATGGAAAGTCCAGACAGGAACGCATAATTCTGGTGCGCTCAATAAAGGCAAATTTGAGAAGCAGTGGTCTATTACGATCACTTCAAATGCTTCTTTATTCTTCCGTTCACACTATGCAATATTAACCATGTAAGGTGCTGAAAGCTACAATGCCCTGGGAGCACGACCTCACATAGTGAATGTTGACTGCATATTTATTCTAGATGTCCTTTGTTGCAGGGAACAACTGCTAAAACTCATCAACGATCTTAATGTATGACAATACTTATAATAATTATTCGAAGCCAATTGACCATAAACTTCTCCAATCGCAATCCTTCCAAATTTTCGCTCTTCGTTTTTGTGTCGTTTGGGCGTATCTCATTAGCTAATCCTTTCCAACTCCAAAAGTACGCCTAGTGTTACGACGTTGTTCATTTGTGTGGTGCGCCATGCACATCAAGAACTGGAAATCGTGGATTCGATTGAATGCGAAGAACAAGCTCACCCAGCATCGTGAGCGGTCATGTGCACTGCTTCACCACGCAAAACACTATGTCTCAACCCTTTAATGTTCAGGAGCTTTGCCTAGATTGAATTGCGAGAGTCAACATGCCCTCCAAGGAGGCGGTAGGAAATAAGTGATAGATTAAGATTCTTGTATGACGTCTGGTGTGTAAACTTACGATGGCTATAAAACCTATGAGCAAATAAACAGAAAAATAAAGGGGAGAGGGCTTGAAACCTTACAGGTCCTGCTCCGTGGAGTTGATGCACTCTGTTATCATGGGCTTGTAGTAGATCTGCAGTCTAACGAATCAAGACTCGTAAAAAACGAAGCGGTATAAAATATAGCGTGTTGAGATCGTTCAACCTAGATTTGAGAGATTCGCTTCATTCCACCCTGTAGAAATCTAGTGACGATTACCGATGGAAAGATTCGGATAGCGAAATGGGAGGGTCTGAAGCTGAGAACCTGCTCTGTAGGAATTACGAGTAAAATTCGAGTTATCCAATGGAGGTTGTTTTTGATTTTCATTGCTGTTTTTGGCCGCAATTCACTTCAGGAAAGTCCCACAAGCATGCAGAGTTATGAAAAGTGGTGCCCCGGTAGCGTAACTGGTAGCGCACTTGCCCGGAAAGCGAGAGGTGCGGGTTCTAGTCCCGCCTGGGGCGAAAGTTTTGTTCACAACCCAGCATTCTTGTGAACGAATAGATAGCTTTTTCATAGACATAACTACAATAAAGGCTGGAAGGAGTTTTTTAACACAGCCCAATTTTGAAACTTACTTTTTTTCGATACTCATTGAAAGATCCTCTACACCAGGTGGTAGTTTGATGCTCAACACGTTTAAGATCTCTGAGAAGGAAAAATATTTCGAAACAGGACTTTGGGGTTAGTCAGAAATTCCCTCCCAACCTTTAAGCTCCTCATTATAGTTTGTAGTAAGCCGTTCAACTTTGTATTCTTATCAACTTCACCGCTCTCACTTGACATTGCCGTCATGCTCCTTCCGCCAGCGATATATCTCATTTCTTCATTTATAGATGTGGTCCACTTACGACTACTTGTTTTCGTCGATTTTTTGGTGTACTGGATTTGTCGGAATCGTAGTCAACGTCTATCTTCTCTACCTGATATTCTTCCACGCACCCGAAACCGTAGTCAAACGCTATCTTCTCTACCTGATATTCTTCCACGCACCTGAAACGCTTCGGGTCTATCGGGTATTCCTCGCCAATGCCGCTCTTGCTGATCTTATTCTTTCCATCGCAATGACGTTTTCTCAAATACGGTAAGTCATCGCTTGGTATATGATTTTTTCCAACCTGAAAAATATCAGACATTCTCCGATTCAGACTGTTTGTATGGCTTCCCCATAGTTCTTCATAATTCAAGTGTACTAATTTCCATTACGATGCCGCACGCAGTTTCACTAACTCCAGCTTCCTCCCGATTACTTTTCTCTACGTTTCTATAATCCTATCTAAAGGATTAATTGTACATTATGCAACTTATGGAAATGGTGTGGAAATGAAACCGTAAGCGGTTCGGTCTTGTGACATCTAATCCTTTTGCTCCTCTGCGTCTCCCTCACAAGGCCAGACACCAGACACTTAAGGCCCAAACTTTTGCCACAGGTTAAGTGGCTCACACACCCCCCACCCCCTGAATTGGCCCCATTCCCCCTGGCTCACGCATTCTT